GGAAACACTGGGCTAAAGGGTCTTGCTGTTTTTCAATCACGTGCATGTTAACAGTTTCCATATTGGAGTGTTGTGTGGTTTCTGGCCTATTTCATATTTAAACATTGCACCTTGTTGTGCTGAATTTATTTCCCAGAATATGCTATAAGCCTTACAAATCTGCAAATGAATATCTGTGTGTTCATTTTCTCACACAAATTTTCACAAGGTACAAAAATCATATTTGTGTTGGGACTGAATTCAGTGAAATTTTGTTCCATCCATAGTATGCAAGGTGTATTTTACTTTGATATTATGGGGAGCCATATTACTGTGCAGCTTCTCACATGCAGCATGAGTTAGTACAGGCTCCAACTTTAACCATGGTTAAATTGTGGAGTAAATGGGATGTGGAGGCAAACTGTGGTATATGAATAGGATGTTTCAAGAAACTGTAAGGTGGAGATGAGATGCTCTCTTGCTAAGAACCTTTGGAAACTGGAAATGAATGAGGAAATGAATGGCTATTACTGTGCGCAGTGAATCATTTTGTCAATCTTGTGTCTCTTGTACCCCAAACAGAGAGCGGCGAGAGAAAGAACTGCACGAAGCATACAAGAACGCCAGGTCACGGGAGGAGGCAGATCATATTCTCCAACAATACATCGAGAGATTCACCATTAGTGAAGCTGTCCTTGAACGCTTGGAGATGCCAAAAATTCTGGAGAGAAGCCATTCAGCTGAGCCAAATTCATCATCCCCGCCTAAGGACCCAAACCCCCTGCGATATTTACGGCAACAGTCACTTCCTGCCCCCAAATACACTGCCAAGGTTGAGGCAACCATTGTTCCCAGTGGATCCGAAGCCAGCATTTCAACAGGTCGCACCTCTCCAAGCAAACCTTTTCCCTCCAAGGCTGTGCCTATGTTGACACCCAAGCCTTACTCACAGCCTAAAAATACCCAGCAGGTTTTCAGAACATTTAAGGTAGGTCAGATTTCATGAATCAATGAGCCCTTCAAGCAGCAATAACTAAGTTTGAGCACAGATCTGTTTTAGCTGTTTCCTTAATCTGGCTGCTTCGGTTTGTTGGGCAAGGGCTCAGTCGTCATGGTTTCCCTTCCGTAATGGGATCACATGGTAGCCGATCTCGGCTCCTCTTCCCCTGTTTGGCATCACAGTT